CAACAGCTCAAAGGTCTTCACCTTTCCCAATGCCTGTGTCTTCAGCAGATCCCTGCCCGGTGCTTTCCTCCGTTACAAGCGCAGCAGGGCAAGAGCTGCCTCTGCAAAGCAGTGAGAGACCACAAGTCACTGTTCTGGCTTCAGGGGGTTGTAGTCTGAAGAATATCTTCAACTCTGTAGTTCCTACAAAAACTGGGAAAAGTACTTCTGATGCTGCCACTCAGATAACAACAGAAAGTCCTAAAAAAACTACCTTTTCAGCAGAGATTTATGTTAATTCACAAGACTGTGAAGATGCTGTCCACCAGTCATCTCTCCAGAAAGCACATGAACATCCCAACAATACAAATACACCTTTTAACAAGATTTCCTCTTTCCCAAGGCAGAGTGGTGAGCAAATTAGTGACTTATATGTATAAGTAGACTTTTATCTATTCAAGTTCGAGACATTTATAGGTATTAAAAGACAAAACTAAACCCAGCTTTTTTGTGGAAGTAACATTCTTGAGATAATGTTCATATTTGAAGTTGCTCATATAGGGGGGAAAAAACCCAACCCTTAAACTTGGGTTTTGCAGTCTTGTGGGTAAGGAGTTGTATCAATACGGTTGTGATTCAGTTCAGTTTTATCTAGAACTGAATTTGTTGTGTATGAGTCTGGTTCAGGAAAATTTTCTGACATTTACTTCTAGATAATTTGATTTGGTTCACTGCTTGGTGTCTATCTATCTGATTACTGATTTACTCTTTAGTCGAGGTAGTACAAAAACTAAGAGAAAAATATGCACATTGCTATTATCAATAGAATAAACCAGAAAAATGTGCAGAGCTTTTAAAATCTGTTGACAGAGGAATGTGGATGTTGCACAGTGGTTTCCCACAGTGGTCTTTTATACTACTGATGTTTGTAGACTTGTGTAGTTTTCATTATTTTTCCTGGGCTCCAGGCTTTGTATCTCTATTCTCAGGGTGTTTAAAATAGTTGAGAGAGCAGATCCTTTCATTATATCAGAGTGCAAAAAATATTTCAGCTATCTGATCACCTCTTCTCTTTGCTAATGTTCTGGTCCAAACATTTGCTGGAATTCTGTCATGACAGCACACTGTTTTAATTGACTTGAGAGACAGATATCCATGCTCATTTAAAATTATTTCATTAAATATGGATCAACTGGGAGCTAAGTGGGTGAGGCTTTTTTTTTTTAAAGTTAATGTTTGTCACCCTAGTCATAAATTTAATATTGAATAGGTAAGTTCGCTATATTTTTCTAGCTAAGCAATAGTCAACCTTCTAACCATTGGGTGGGTATTAAATAATTAGATTTAATAATAACTGGAGTTTGTTTTCCTAAAGAATAGGATATTTATCCACATTTACAACAGTGAATATCTTCAGCAGTCTGCTTGAGTCCTGATCTGTGGCTTTTATCTGAGTTGCATTAAAGGATTAAAGCCTGACTTCTGTTAATTGCTTTGCCTTCCATCCCCACAGATCAGCCCTTATTGCTGCCATATAAACCTTCTGGAAGTACTGGGATGTATTACGTTCCTTATCTAAAGGCAGGATCCAAGATTTCTCCAGTTGGGTCAGACACCAGTGTTGAGAGCTCTCACTCAGGTACTTCTTTATCTTAGGTCTTCCAAATGCAAAATGATGGCTGTAGCTCATGGATCAAAATATGTCTCATTCATATGCAGCATTGTCTCAGTTGAGCTCAGATTTCTTTTGTCCTACCAGTTTTGAGTAAGTGCATTGATTTTTAACAGAAAAATGTCTTTTGTTCATGTTCACACCACTTTATAAGACAAAGAAGTATGAGTCCTGCCTGAAGGCTATAGTTTCAGTTTCTTTGATGAAAGGGATGTTAGTACTCCGTTCTGTCAGTGAAAAGAAACAACACACAGTGTTTTACAGCTTGATGATTCTTTGCTTTCCTCTGGGAATTACTATTCAGTTTGGACCCTTTCATATCTCTGCCAGTTCTCCTTCTTTTTAGTTCCCTTATTTGTGTACATTCTCCTGCTTTTTTAAATTAATTTGGTATGTGTGCATTCTGAAATATCTGCATAATACAACGTGCATTTCAGACAATAGCTTTCTCAGTACTGAATTTCTTTCTTCCATGTTAGGCGATTCCAGTGTAGAAAGCCTTTCTATAAACAATGTAATTTGTAACTGTGGTTTAAAATACATATTCACTTCTTCGCCACATCCTTCCATCTCCCAGTAAAAAACACTCCTCATTTACTTGAGGAAAGGATGCTCTGTGATTCATCAACTTCTTTTGCTTTGCCTGCTGTTATTTTTCATTTCTCTCCTATATATAAAGAACGCATCACTTAAGCATTATAGGTCTTATTTGCAGGTTGTTTTCAGTCAGAGTTATACGCAGACAAAAGTAATATTACAGAGATGTCCTGTTCCTGACAGACATGCCCCCAGGGGAGTAGGTTGATACAACAATGACAGTAAGTGCACAGGTTAGTCATTATAGCCACAAATTGTGCTTGTAATTGTTTATGCATCTCTGCTCATTACCTTTTTCCAGTCTGTCTGTTGTAATATGGTCAAAATGACAGAAACAAATGTGATGCGAGTCTGTTGTTTTGCGGAAACCATGATGCTAGATATAAAAATTCAAGGCAGTGTAAGGTTCTAGAAAATGTACAGCAGAATTAAAAAATAAATTTTGTTTTTTGAACTCCCTGCTGCAGCTAGGATTTTTACCTCATGAGTAGTACCTGAAGGAAATCGAGTTGAGGAAGTCTACTGAATGTAACCAGGTGATGTTGACAAGGATGATAAATCAGTTAGGGGCCGTTTTAGGTTTCTATTGTTAGGAGACAGCGATATGATAGTAACAGAGCTCTGCTGCTATTGTCTTGAATTCTTGTTTAGAGGTTATACAGACCTACTCTATTTTCCCAGTTTTTCCCCGTTTCTGTCATGAGCTCAGAAAATAGATATTTACATCAGTCAGTGAAAATGCCTGGAATTTTAATGTGAGTAGAAGGGAGTCTGGACATTCCAAGTCCTGTGTCTGCTACCTAGCAGACTTGTCTAATGCTCGTTTTCTTGTATTGTTCTCTGCTCATTAGTAGAATAGGTAAAATTTATCTACATCTCAGGGAAGAACCTTGTCATCAAAGATCACGGAAAACATTCTGGCGCAATACCTACTGCTGCTGTGTGACTCACTAGAACTGCTCACGAGGGATCATGGTTGTTGATTGGTGAATACACTGGTACTAATACTTGGATAATAGACTTTCTTTCAGACCTTGTCTTTGTTGTGAAATTTCTGTATCTATTTGTCCTGATTCCTCTTTTCACTCATAATTATTGCGCGCTCTCTCTGCAGGGTCAAATGATGCCCTTCGTCCAAGTCTTCCAGCAAATGTGCTTGGTTTAAAGGATGGTAATCCTCCAGATGGTATGGCTATCAAGCATAAAGAAGGAACCTTCAGAAAGAGGGCCAAGCCCAAGCTAGCCTGGGCTGAGGAGCAAATGATACCACTGGAAGCTTCCTCAGGTAATTAAAGCGTGTGTTTAGTTTTACATCTGTTTTCATACACAGGAAAGAAAGTAGAGCAAAATAATTATGTTTCAGGATCCATGATTTCTGGTCTCATCATATTGCTGAGAGTCTGCCTGAAGATGCTGAATTTGACTCAGTTTTCTCTTCCCCATCTTTCTACTTCTCCCTGAATGCCCAAATACTTGGATGTTGATATTTGCTAGCATTCCAGTGGCCCCAATGTTTATTGGAGCCTTGTAAGATTTTTGTGGGGTTTGGGGTGGGTTTGTTGGGGTTTTTTTGTTTGTTTGTTTGTTTTTTGTTTGTTTTTAAGGCACCCTTAAGTCTGTGAAGTGCAGAGTCTTCTTTATGTGTAGAAAGGATGCCTGTGTAGAAAATGACAGAAATTCCCTGGTAAATAAAAGCAGGTGGAATGACTCTGTTTATTGGGTTGGGGTTGTGTTCCTGCCCACAAATACACTGATATCTTGTGATGTCATGTAAAGTATCTCTGTAATGTTGGTATTTAAGTGAATTTTAATATGATTTGACTGATATCTCTTTCTTCCTCCCCTCCATTAACCTTGTTGGATGGTACTCCTGAGGGATGAAGGTCAGGGTTTACTACTATAGTAGCCTACTTTAAGGCTTTATTTGTTGAGAATGCTGACGAAATGAAATTACGCGGAGCTAACTAATGATTTTGACACTGTATCTCATGACAGTAGCTAAAATTAGTTCTGATAGACACTCTTTTTGTACAAAACCTCATTCTGCGATTTTGAGTGGCTCATAAACTTCCTTGAGTCTGAGTACGGATGAGGATTTTTGTTGTATTTGAGAATTGCATCTCGTCTTGGACAGAAGTAACTGTAAATGGAAAATTGCTGAGTGGTTGCCATCTCTCCTAAATGCAGCTATTCATTCCTCAGGGAAACTGTTTATTGCATGGTACAGTATTTTGCAGCCTGTGCTATATTAAACGAAGAGTGAGCAAATTGCAAGGAGGTAATATAATTGTGGTTGTTAATGAGGGGTGGGACTCGAAACATACAAACAGCATAATGGATTCTGAATTAGAGAGTTCCTGCTCTCTTCTAGACAGTCACATATGCGGGGTTTTGGGGAACCCATTTTTCTTAGTATCACGTAAACTTGTTAAATGAAGACATTTAATGAAACAGATTTTTATGGAATACCTCAGTGTGATTGTTGTTGTCCTTTTTAAGCAGGCAGCTCAGTGTGCCAGGGATAAGGTCACCTCACAGAGCTATGCTGATGTATTGATGGGGATTCCTTCTGAGGATTTTAATTCTTCACTTCAGAAGGGGATTTCTTTGAAGCTTTTCTCTTCAGAATGGAGAGATTTTGCTATTTCTAGAAGATAATTTTTATTTCCGGAAGGTAATTTAAAACGCTGGCATAAGACACACTGAACTTCATTATTTTATGTTCATTTTACTTTATTGGTAAGTGTACATAGGACCAATAGCTGAAGTAGTGCAACAATAAAGACAGTGTTGTCTTAACCTAGTTTTTCTAATGGAAGAAATAATTCTCTGTGAGCATTTATAAAATGCAAGGATATGGAAACAAGTAGACTAAGATAGAAAAATGCTTTTCTTCATTCACTGTGAGTAACTCGGAAGAAGAATGCTGGGTCACAGCGGTAGAGCTGAAGAAAAAGCGTGTACAGAAGTAAGCTCTGCGAACAAGAATCTGCAGTAACAAACAAAATATCATGTTGGAGCAGAGATCAGTGGATACCTGTCTCAAAGAACAGCCTGGATAAAAATGAAAGGGGAACAAAAGTCTTAATATAAAATCATCTAATAGTATTTTTCTGTAGCTGTGATGGTCTAAAGACACAGGCAAGAAAAGAACTGTAAGTAGAAATAATCTTTTGTTAAAACAGCCGGTACAGTTGGAAATTTAAGCAAGCTTTCTGAAGAGACTTGCGTGTCTAAAATCTTCTCTGACTTCTTCAACTATATTTTTAGATGGTCTAATAAAAGATTACCTCTACCCACAGAGCTTGTCTAGAGCTTAAAATTATGCAAGTTATGTGGTTTTTCTTTTTTTAAGTTTCTCTATATAAACTTATTTTTATTTTTTGCCTGTTTGCATTCCTTCCATTTTGTTGGTTACTTTTTAAAAGTACAGAAATAGCAAAAATTCTGCATAGTATTCCCAAGCCTGATCTCATTTGTCAGGAGGATGTGGAGGAATCCTCTTACATGAGTATATAAACATTGACCTTGTATGGGAAGAGAGAGATTTCCAATTTCAGAGGTAGTGAGGCTGGGTCTAGTTATGCTATTCGTGATCTTGACATTACACCAAAGTGTCTCTGTGTTGGGAAGGGAAGACATGTATAAAATATAAGGAAAACAAATGACTAACTAAAAGTAAGGTTTATGAGGCAGTGCTACCAATATGAATTCACACAATTGTAACCCTTCCTGAGCTTATCTTGCATCATGGTTTCCCATGTGGAATTGAGTTTTTATAAAAGCAGCTTGTGATTCATGATGAGGTAGGTAGGTATTTTCCTCCTGGGGTAGGGAGAGGCTTGGTTGTGGAACTTGCCACCCTTTTACTGAATCAGTGGCAAAACTTGCTCAAATGAAGGAACAAAGACTTGGTTTCCAGTTCTGTTTTCATCAGTAAATCACAGTCACAGAAACAAGACTGTTTAAAACAAAAAAAAAAAACAAACAAAAAAAAAACAAACAAAAAAACAAGCTTAGGAGGAATGTTGGAGAGCTAGAGAAAAACTAGTTTGCATGTGATGCCTGCCATTAATGGAGCTTGATATGTATTTGCTGACAGCTCCCCATTACCTGGTCACTGGTGTTAGCATTATTAAATGGACTGTTCCTTTTTTGTATTAACTCTTTTATTTGTATTAAAGCTATTACTACTCTATAAGGTGTCTTTAAATGACATACTTGGCTAAAATGGCATGGATTATCTTGCAGTAAGCATGGGGACTTGGGAAATCCTTCTGGCAGTAGCATCTATAATTCCTATTTTCTACCTTCATGGTTCACTACGTAATTCAGTCCATTATTCAAAGAACATAACATGAAACAGAATTTTACTTTTTAAAATTCAATATTTTTTTTAACAGTATGTTACAAACCACTTTAAAATTATTTTGGAGTATATTCCTGCTAGCCCATGCTGCATGCATACTTAATGTATGCCTATTACAAATGAGTTTATAATTGGATTTCTGCATATAGTCCTTTGTAATTTCAGATAGTAGCATATTCTGGGGGGATTTCACTGCTGCTTTGAAGTAAAATGTGTCATCTGATCTTGAAAGCAAAGCAGGGCTAGATCTTGGTATGCCATCAGAGATGGTTCTAGGAGCTGTAGAGGAAGTGGTGTTGGTTGTCTTTATATATAGTGCTGTTCTGAGTTAGTTAAGAGATAATGTTCAGGCATAGCCTTAGGGGACATTTGTACTCCCTGGGCATTTGTCTGAAAAGAGGCAAAGTAAGTTGCAGCTGCCTGTCATGAGTTTCCATAAATATAAATAAAGATTCAGTCCAAATTTTGGTCAGGGTAATTACCTGTGGTGTAACTACATTCCTTCTTCAGCTTCAGTTAGGTATAATATTCTCTTGGATTCTGTATTGCAAATGATAGAAAATATTATTTACGTACTTTTAATAGTGCTGAAACCTCATTTCTACATTTGTTACATTTCAGGAATGGGTACAATGACTCCTGCTTTTAATCCTTTGAAGGGATTGGCAAGTGTTAGAATGAAAACCATCCTGTTTAAGATTTGCTGTTGGCTGCTTGCTTCCCTGTAAAGAAATAAAAATTCGAAGTGTTTTCTTCTCTTCTAGAACAAACAAATCACTCGAAGTCTGTGAAAACCACTCATTCGGTCTTCAAATCTACACCGTTCTACCTTCATCATCCAGTGTCCACGTGTGAGAGCTACTTCCTATTTGACAGTGAGCTGTCAGAAGACAGTTCTGATACTGGACACGGTAGACCTTCCTCAAGGGCTGTCTTGCAGAATTGGAAAAAAGCACATCGTCATCAACGTGTTTACTCTGTTCCCCATAAAAAAGATGGTGAATATGAGTTCTTTCCACTCACTGCAGAAGCAGATCACAGCAAGAATGAGGATCTAAATGTTGGCATGTCTTTGGGGAATGAAACGTCACGGAAGGGGCTACTTCAACACAGCAGAAGAGAAGCAGAACACAAGGCAGCTAGAAGTTATCCTTTGCCATGTAGACAAACAATTCGCCTCAATGAGACTGTGGAGAAAGACTTACCACCAAGACAGAGAACCCACTCCAGTGGTAGATTACATGAACTCTGGATGAAGTTTTTGGAGAGCCAGGAGAGATACCAGCACCATGATTTTAGGCGTAACAGTGAGCTGTCCCTTGTTGAACGCCTTGATCAATTGGCCAGGGTCCTTCAGAATCCCGTTAAGTATACACTAATACCAACAAACTCTGAAGAGAATATTTCTGAAAAGAAAATTAAGGAAAGAGAGCAGAAGAAAATAAGACTGCCAGAAAAGCGCATGTCTCAAAGTACCTCAGAGCCTAATGCAACACATGTTGAAGAAAGACCACGTATCACCCATGATAAAAATAGCTTTGTTGAGCTTGGGAAAAATAGGTCAGGAGAGAACATTATCTCCTACATGAATAAAATTTGGGAACACCAGCAGTACTTTAAAACTCCTAGTGACACTTCCTCAGAGGCAAGACTTAGTAGAGATCGTGGCTCCACGGTCAGTTCCACCACGATCAGTTCCACGACGTCGGAATCAGATACGGTGACCCAAACAGAGACAGAAACTGCTACCTGGACTGAGGTGAGCAGTTCTGCTTCCACCATTGATACTGCCAGGCTGATCAGAGCTTTTGGTCATGAAAGAGTGCAGGTGTCACCAAGACTCTCTCAGCTTTATTGCACCATCGACCGCCAGAAAAGTCGCTCTGAAAAGTGGGACAAGGGAAGTGGCAAAGCAGTGGGCGTGGAATATCCAAAGGTTACTTCTGAGAGACACAGGAAAAGGAAAGAGATCCAGGTATGTGGTCAGTTAGACCAAAAGATAATTTTAACTAATCTTTACAGGAACTCTTAAAACTGCTGTACAGTAGTAGAGTTTGTTGTTCGGAGAATCATTTAAAATTTCCCAGAGAACATTGTTTATCTGGTAGGCTTCTGTCTTTGATCTAAGTTGCTCAAACGAGTCTCTCTGCCTTTCCAGGAATAAGGACGAGATCAAGATATCTTAAAACATCAGTTGTGCTTTCTTTCCCTTTGTTCTTATTTGTCTTTTTTACCTTCCTTTTTTTTTGTCTTGGGGAGCAAGATCCTGCTGTATCTGACTCATAGTTACCTGTAGGTTCTGTGCTTTAGCAATCCTGAAGACAGCGGTAGTGGTAAGATTGACAGTGGTAAGTTGAAGTGGTAGATTTTGACTGCATATTGCTACCTGAATATCTCTGGGCAACGATAAATACCATTTCGTAAAAACTAGAATTATTATTTGAATTTTCTTGCTGTTTGTCTGTTTTAAATGTTGGAATTATTTTGTCTTGCCGAGTTTTGGTTGTAAGCTTCTTCAATTTCTGTATTTGGCAATTTAGACGTGTTAAAAGACCAAGTCTTGGCCCTAAGGATTCTAGGTGAAAAGTCTGGACTAAAGTTGTTCTGAAGTGGAGAAAATCTTTCTGATTACTTCAGTTGAATTTGGCCATTTGCCCTTGGGAGGAGAAGTGAAAATTAATTTCCTGAAAGGGGGTCTTGGCATGAATTTGGTGATTATAGGAAGCAATTACAGAGTTTTGGTGTTCTGTAATATACATTAATGCTGAAAAGTACAGGAACAAGTGAGAAATATTTCTTTATTTTTTTCATATTACCAGAAAAAAGTGGTATTGTCATCATTACTAATAGATTTCATTGAAATGAGTTGGGTTTTTTTTTTATAGAAACAACTCAAACTCAGTCTGTGCGTCAAGTAAGCTAATGAATGCATGTCTGGGGGAGAAGCAGTCTTTTTCAAGATATTTTTATTAATATTTTTATTTCTAATATTTATTTAAAGGTAAAATAAACTTTGCAACATTAGGACCATTAATTGGAACACTGACCATCTAACAGTGAAATTAGGATCCAACATTTCTTGCATGGTTGTAGTATTTAGGAGATGATTTTATTCCATATTCCATTCATAAGACTAATCTTTCAGTGTCTGTTTGAACGTTAAAACCAGCATCTAGTCTTTTGCCTGTTAAAATCACTTGCGAGATCACTGATTGCAGTAATACTTATATGAGAATGAAGGCTCACTGTTCCCGGTGCTTAGTGTTGCACTGAACCCATATGGCTTTAGAAAGTAGTATCTTTTATCTGCTGATGTCGTGTTCTTTTTAAAAATACATCTAAAGAGACACATGACCCACCTCAAATAAAGAGCAAGAGAGAATTGATGGCAAAATCATAGAATCATAGAATGGTTTGGTTGGAAGGGACATTAAAGCCCATCTCATTCCACCCCCCCTGCCATGGACAGGGACACCTCCCACCAGACCAGGTTGCTCACAGCCCCATCCAACCTGGCCTTGAACCCTTCCAGGGATGGGGCAGCCACAGCTTCTCTGGGCAATCTGGTGCAGTACCTCACCGTCCTCGCTGGGAAGAATTCTTCCTGATATCTCATCTAAATCTGCCCTCTTCCAGTTCCAAGCCATTGCCCCTTGTCCCATCACTCTGTGCCCTTGTAAAAAGTCCCTCCCCAGCTTTCTTGTAGCCCCTTTAGGTACTGAAGGCTGCTCTAAGGTCTGCCTGGAGCCTTCTCTTCTCCAGGCTGAACAGCCCCAACTCTCAGCCCGTCCTCACAGCAGAGGTGCTCCAGCCCTCGGATCATCTCCGTGCCCTCCTCTGGACTCTCTCCAACAGGTCCATGTCCTTCTTGTGCTGAGGACCCCAGAGCTGAAGGCAGTACTGCAGGGGGGTCTCACCAGAGCGGAGCAGAGGGGCAGAATCCCCTCCCTTGACCTGCCGGCCACGCTGCTTTGGATGCAGCCCAGGGTATGGTTGGCTTTATTGCACATGGCTGGGTCATGGTGAGCTTCTCGTCAACCATCACTCCCGAGTCCTCCTCCTCAGGACTGCTCTCCATCCATTCTCTGCCCAGCCTCTATTTGTGCTTGGCAAACTTAATTTAAAATCCAGATTTTGGTGATTGGCTGAACAGAAATCAAGATTTATTTTTTTTTTTAGTTGCAAATATCTGTGCTTCAGAGGCAGATATTTATTTACAGCAGGAGCCCTACTAGAGAGACTACTGTACGCATCTTTCAGGCAAGTGCTGCATTTTGTAGCTCTTTTTTTTAAATGACAGCCTATTGTCAACTCTGCTTCCAGAAAACTTGGTTACAGCTTTTTTTTTTACTTATAGATACTGAACCCATCCCAGAAGACTTTTATCTATTCCAATTTCTGTTATTTCTAAAGCATTCTTCAAGCTGCCATCTGGTAGCAGGTACAAAGCTAAAGGTTGCACTATTCAACTGCTGAAGGGCTTTGAAACATTGCACTGAATATTCTAGTCCAAATAGGAATATGCATGTCAATATTCAGTACTGAATGGCTGCTTATATTTATTTCTGCAGGCTGATATGCATGTGCATGTAAATGAGTTCTCTTGGATTTTTTTTTCTGTATTTTATATTCTCTTCCCTTTTGCTGAGCACGTATTCAAATTTGCTTCTGTTCTCTGAAAGAAGATACATATCTACTACATCTGTCTAGTGCACTCTACTCAGCTGTAATAGTTTCATGAAACTAAAAAAACCAGTTCTTTCCAGTGTGCATGAGAGTAAAAATTACCTCCTTTTAATGTTGAAATGAAATTATGTTTAGCATTGAAGTGGTGATAGCAGAGATTCAATAAAAAGGTAATAAAAAAGCCTCTGTTCATTTCCATTGTGGCTACTGTTATGAGTTCCTAATAGGATACTAATTGCTATGAACAAGGAAAAAAAAAATCTGTTTCATAATTAAAAATTAAATTCAGCGCAATTGCAGAGATTGGTCTGTGCGGCACTGTTGGATCTGAAGCCTGGGGAGGCACTGTCAGTTAATTGCTGTTAAGAAAGCACTAACCTCTGTATTTCATATAACCAAAAAGCTTGTGGACTAGATGCATTACACTTACAGAGTATATTCCTTTTTAAATGGCTGTAATGTTATAACATGTCATAAAATTTAAATTAATTTATTATAACAAAGTTGTGCTGCTTACATCTCTGCAGCTGGCACTTCTGTTTGTGTGAATGGGGAAGATGTGAAACTAGCATTTTGCCTAAGCCATGCTCTTACCATGTGTCTTCTTTTTCTTGTTTTTATTGAGTTTAATTTTCTCCATCTGGAGAACTTTGTGTAATGAGGATCGCAGGGTGAGAGAACTTCCCATGTTTTGAAAGGGCTTGGCTCTTTCATGCCAATGGTGCAGAACTGGAGTTCATTGTGACTTTACAAAGCAACACGTTAATCTAAGACAATTTGCCCCTCCAGCAAACCCAGCAACCTTTAAAGGCTTTTGGTTTGAGAGGGTAGGAATATAGGATGCAGTTTAGATGTTTATTCTCCCTCTTTCCAAAGCAGAAATATTTCACACTTTGCAGTCCCTCGTGAAAGTACAGCCAACAAACGATCTTGCCACAGCAGAGGTTTTTTTGTAAGTCTACCTTGACAGGCCACGCTGTCCCATGAACTTTGGACAACTGAGTTGGAGGATGCTCGGCACCGTACAGAATCTGCCTACAGAAATAATGCATTTTTCCTACTATAATGGGATGCTGAAAGTGCATTGGTGCATGAGGATAAAGTCAAGGCTGGCTGTTGTGTGGCATAGCGATAAGAGACACTGATCAGCCTGTGATAAACATCTGAATAACAATAGAATCAAGGTACAACAAGTAGAGAGTGATGACTATAACTTTTTTGCTGTTTAAAACCTGCTTTCTGTTCGTTTCGGTTAGTATTTCAGGAAATTCTGTTCTCTTGCGCTTTTTTTTTTTTTTTTTTTTCCCTAGAATGCAATCTCCCTTTCATCGGATTCAGTTTCTACAAGCAGTAGTTCTTGGGGGCCAAGCTCTGCTCTTAGTAACAAGCGACACACACGGATGCTAAACAAAGGTATCCAAGCAGGTAAGTTGTTAAATTCCAGACTTGTCTTTTCTGTATTTGCCTCTGCCTTTCATCTCTTTGGAAACCGTCCTCCAAAGTCTGTTGCATGTTCCTGATGGTGGGTATGTACAAGCAGCAGTCTTCAAATTCACTTCAAGTGCTTTTAGAGAAAGACGTTATGTTCTAATTAAAAAGAGCCATTTCACTTCCTTTCTTGGTCTGCTTTAGTAGCCAGTTTTCTCACTTACTTATAAGTTTATTAACCTAAACCTCTGATCCATTTCAATAGCAAAGGTGGAGTAACAGTATTTTTTTATATACTCTTTTCTCCACAAGACATCTGTTACTCACAGAATGTATTTTGTAGATGTATGCTATTTCAGAAGTCAACTGCTGTGTCTCATATTCATCTTGGTAATATTTTGGATGTTGCATTCTTTTTAAAACATAAAGTAATCGTGGACTGGTGCAGTTCTGCATTTGGATTTTTCTGGTGGCAATTACCAGTTTCTTCATTGCTTTCGTTTAGATGCTAACTTCCCATCATCAGATTGAATAATGGCTTTGTTTTATTCATCAGACATATCAATTATTTATTACTGCTTTTTTTTTATGTGCAAATGGATTGCATCAGAAAAGTATTTTCCTGGCTTTTTTTAAGATCCCTTTATGACTTTTTGAATGTTAGTTGACACCTTCCACTTTATATGGTTCTGTTAAATATTTGTGGTGTTGTTTCTGTTAAGTATTTGTAGTGCTGTGGGCAAACTAACCTTCTTTAGCTAAAACGTAGTTTTGAGTGGGACGCACTGGGTAAACTAACAGGTCCAGAAAAACCTGCAGTTCCGTTGTCTAAAATGTAAAGCTGTTTGTTGATCTGCCATTGGGTCTTTCAGCAGCAGATTTGAAGTTGAATCTTCCAAGAGTCAGCTCAGATCCCCAGCCAGGGGCATAGTTGGTTCAAGTTTAATTCCCAACCCCTATATATATGTATATTTGATTTGCTTGGGGTACTTGGTTTACACCACTTCAGTTTTACTCAGATTATTGTATAGTAACAATCCTGAGTCACTGTAAACTCTCCTTAAATTGAAAGTGGCTAATAGAAAAGATTTTGCCTTTTGAAGGTGGGGTAAAGAAAGTGATCCTTCAACTTCAAAGTAAAAATTGAGGGTCGTCCCCTGAACTATGCATGTTACATGTGCTGATGTTGAAGTACTTCAGCTGGTCTGAAATAAGATGTTGCTGCTTCCTTTTCAACTACAGGAGACTTCGAGATTGTGAACAGTGCAACTAAGAAAAACACTCGAGATGTTGGTGTGACTTTTCCTACCCCAAGATCTAGCCAGCCAAATCAACGGCCACAGGAACCCTGGCATTGCGTTGATAATAATTTTGGAGAGTCAGATGGTCTGGTCACAGATCATCAGGCAGCAAAAAACAAGGGTAAGCAGAATGGACAGCCAGGCAATTTTTTCATGGAGAAAAGGACGAAAAGGAGCAGGCTGCATTCACCACAAGGTCAGTCCAAAATACACTTTCTCTGCAGACCAGAAAAACTGTACATCTTGACAGCAACCAGCAAAATATGTGAGGAGGATTAGCTAGGACACAGAGTAGTCTCTCACTAGCATAGTCAGTTCCTACTCTATTTTTAATCAATGAATTTCAGACAAAAACACTATGTCAAGTGAACTGTCTAGTGCTTTATTATGATGGCATTTTCAATCAAATTGTTAGATGCGACGTAGCCAGTAAAGGTAGTAAATAGGAAGCAGTGAATAAGTCAAGGAAAGATGAATGAGACTGGAATCATGTAGATACTTAATTTTGATTTTCAAGGTATAAAAGGTTCTGTTAAGCTCTGAGTGACTGGTCACTGTAAGTTGTTCTTACTGTTTCATGTACTGAGGCTTCATAGAACAAGTGTTTTTTCAGGAGTACTTGAGGGAAGATTGTAGTATCAGAAGAACTAGACATGTTTCCCTCTTTTAGCTAGAGTTGCATTTTTGGGCTCATGGTGTAGCTTCTTGACCTTTTTTTTTTAGTTTCCTGTCAGTCTTCACAATGTCATGATTAAATGTTTAAAAATATTTTCCTTAGTCATCATTGTTGTTGTTGTAGGGACAAATCATTCTCTCTCATACTGGTTTAATTTAGAAAATTTAGAATATCTGCTCAGAGTACTAGCTGATGTATTCAAATCCCATTATGTATGTAAACTGTGAGTAATCTAATTCTTGTATACATATTTAACATGTGGAAGATGTATAGCATTTGATCTTCAAAAACATCTATAAAAAGCCACAGGGCTTAGGACAGCAGAAAGGATCCTTAAAAATGTGTAATTGCTGATAAATAACGATTATTTCCATTGAGAGAAACTTGCAAACTAAGCCATTTTGTGCCTTTTCAAAAGTATTGTTTGATAAAGACTTGCCGGTTTTCAGACACTTGGCAAAGGAATTATTTTGAAACTGCCAAAGGTGTCTGCTACAGAGCCCCACTATTATTAAACTGAAGTGAGTACTTATTGCAGTGTTAGGCCACTGACTGGATTTAGCTAAGACCTTAGACATTGTTGAGGTTTAACCCCAGCCGGCAACGAAGCACCACCCAGCTGCATGCTCACTCCCTCCTCAGTGGGATGGGGGAGAGAATCAGAAAAGTGAGAGGACTCATGGGTTGGGATAAAAATGGTTTAATAGGGAAAGCAAAAGCTGTGCACGCAAGCAAAGCAAAAGAAGGAATTCATTTCCCACTTCCCATGAACAGACAGGTGTTCAGCCATCTCCAGGACAGCAGAGCTCCATCGCACATAACAGTGACTAGGGAAGACAAACGCCATCGCTCCAAATGTCTCCCCCTTCCTCCTTCTTCCTCCAGCTTTTTATTGCCGAGCATGACGTCATCTGGTATGGAATATTCCTTTGGTCACGGCTATGTCCCCTCGCAACTCCTTGTGCCCCCCGAGCCTCCTCACTGATGGAGTGGTGTGAGAAGAGAGAAGACCTTGACTCTGTGCAAGCCCTGCTCAGCAATAACTAATCCCCATGTTGTCAACACTGTTTTCAGCACAAACCCAAAACTTGGCCCCATACCAGCTACTGTGAAGAAAATTAATTCTATCCCAGCCAAAACCGGCACAGGCATAAAGGACTATAGATGAGGATGGAAAATAGACACACGTGTTGTCTGCAAGTCTTTATTCTCTTCTGTGGTCTTTTAACAGGGATTTCATGGTTTGTCCAAGCAGAAGACTTGAAATCTGAATCTAGGAAAGAAAACCATTCCAGTTTCTTTTCTGGTCCTGGTCCATCTTGGATGGAACCATTGACGAGCACAAAGCCTTGGAGAGAGCCTCTCCGAGAGAAGACCTGGCAAGAGCAACAGCACAGCAACATCATTCAGCGAGCAGTTCCAGAAAGAAGTGCTGAGACGAGGTCCTTGCAGCCGTTTGTGAAGCTTACGCTACAGGTAAAGGCATGCTGCACTATAAGGCTGCTGAGATTGCAGTAGGATTTCGGAGTTATGCTGAATCTTACGGCAACACTTTTTGTTCCTTTTATTATTGCACCTTTATAATCACCTTTATAATCACCTTTGTAATAATTTATAACCATTGGAAAACCAACAAATTCATCAGTCCTTTTTGCTTATGATAATCTGGCTTTCTACAACATGCTAATCTATTTGAATTGATGTAATATTTTGGGGCTTAAATCATATGGCTTCAGGAACTAGAGGGAATGTAGCTGACGATGTCAAGTCATACTTGCTTTCATGCAGAAATAGTACTGTGTAATGTACATAGTATGTGATTGAAATGGGCTTTAATTCATACAGTGCAAACAGTGTATGTGTGTGTACATCTGTACACATGCATATACAGTGTACACTTCAGACCAGGTGTGATCACTCTAAATATCTGTGGAGAAATAGAGATGTAGTGTACAGAAATATGAAAGAGATCGTTCATAGCAAGTGAAATGTAAATTAGGAAGTGCTAACTAAGGTGCATTTCTGAACCTTCTTTAAGTTCAGTTGCATCTGTTCATGTGCTCAGAGACTGCCCTGTGATGGAAATGGAAGTGTGGCAAACGGAGATGGCAGGAGATCACTTTCAAAATTCCACTTCTGATCCAAAATAAATTGCTAATGTTGACATGCCCGCTGATTTATGACAAGGGAGATTGTAATAACTTACAGAATCTTCTATCCTATGGGTTCAAATTTATTGATTCTTTGCTATGCTTTTTTTGAGAAGAAGTTTATGTCTCTTTTGCTAATTATTTTACCATTTTTTTCATTTCTGGCCAGTTAATTTTCTGGTTATTGACAAACAGTTTGTTAAACAAAGTCTCTGAGGATTTAGCCAGCGTTAAGGATACAAGATTTTGTATGCTACACTGAATACTACTATGATGGGATTTTTTTCCATGCTTTGGTGATGGTGTTAGATATTTTGATTATTGCCTTCCAGCTGTAGGGAGACAGTCTGGCCACTTTAGGCTTTGTTTTGTGTCATCCCATCATAGGAGGCTCTTGCAGCGCATCGCCCTGATTTCATCTCCCGCTCTGGAGAGCGTATGAAGCATCTGAAGCTTGTAATGGAGGAAAGGAGGATACAGAGCATACTGCAGTCCGAACGAGAACAACTATTTAATCCTCCGGAGAAAAGAAGGGGCTACAGGAATGCAAATCACATCCTGCCCGACACAGGTACCTTCATGGTTCTGCTTTATACCTTCTATAGGAATTAATGAATTTCCACATTATACTTAAGGGTGTGTGTATTTTTAATAAAAGTATCACAATTACTTAACATTATCGTCTCTAAGAATCTATAACTTATAAAGGAGTCATGTTGTTGCAGTAGTATTCTTTGTGAGAAGTAGGCTTGTTCACCGTTCTCTTATCTCAAAATTTTCCATTTAGGTTTTCTGACTAGAGAAAAGAGAAGAACAATTCCAAAGAGTGAAATGGTTCAAAGATCTAAACGGTAAGTGTTTCAGGTAGATAAGTGACCTGGGTAGGAAAGATGGATGAATCGTATCTGCAGTCAAAGAATTGGATGTTGGGGATAACTCAGCTTTTCCAGTGCAAGATGTAGGCACTTTATCAAAAGGAGAAACCACCTATTTAGAAAATCCAAGAAAGAAAATGATTTTGGAAAAATAATTTCTGTAACTAAACGTGAGTATTCTGCTGCAGTATCTACCATCCAAGCACTACAGCAAACTGTGCTAGTATTGGATCCCTAAAGGAGAGGAAATGCAGGGTGTGGGCCATTAGAGCATCTGTGTAGTTTTAAACATTAACAAACCAGGTAATTGGTGCAGGAGGTGAGGCGTCATTTCACCAAATGAAAGTAGCATTATGTAAGAAATAATTACCCACAAAGGAATACAGAGGCTTTTGCCCTAGAAGAAAACCACCGTATGATAGGTTTTTGCCTTATTTTTGACTCAGGTAATTCATTTATGAAATGCAGAGCACACTAACAATGTTTTAAACATTTGGAATACCTGTGCTACAGAGAGAGTATGTGAAGGTATAATAAAAAACAGAGTTTATTGCAGCTAGATTCTGAAGCGGTAGCGGGGTCAAGAGGAGGTGGTTTGGAAGAGTACCAGTTGAGAAAGCTTAAGTACTTAAAACTAAATTAGAAATTCATGAAGTCATCTCTGATGACTTGTAAAGTTGCATAAAAATACAATGATACTGCAAGTTCTTTAGAGTCAAAACAAAACGAAGGTCAAGAGCGTACCTTGAGGCAAGGGATATTTTAAAATAATTGGGATTTCAGCATATATACAAGTGCTTTGTTGCACTGAAGTCTTGGAGTGTACATGCTACATGAAGGGAAGGGTCTGTGCTGTGTGAAAGGGACAATGCTGTGGGCCAGGACTGTTTTGCAGCATCTTCATCGGTAGTAGCGATGGGATGAAGCACACCTCAACGGATTTGCAGGTGACAATGAACTGGGAGGACCAGTCAGTATGCTAGAGAGTAGGTCTGCAGTTTCTTGAGATCTCGACAGGCTGATGGCAAGGGCCAAGAGGAATCTCATGAAGTTCGACAATGACAAATACCAAGTCTCTCCTTGCAGTATGCTCTTGCAGTGATGAAGGCCAGCTACACGCTGCATTTCGTGCAGGTGTTGGGAAGTGGATAGTCCCTCTGCTTGGCACTCATGGGACCACAACTGGATCCTCTCTCCTGTTCTGGGCTGCCACTGCAAGAGAGATGTCAGCAAAGTGGCTGGAGTCCGGTGGAGGCCATCAAGATGGTCAGAGGACTGAAGCACATGGGGCATGAGGAGAAGCTGTGGAGGCTGGGCTAGTCCGGCTTGAGGAGAAGGAGGCTGAAGGTGGGGATCTGGCAGTGGTGCCTCCCTGCCAGAAGGATCTGGCAGTGGTGCCTCCCTGCCAGAAGGAGAATTTAGAGGAGGCAGAGGAAGAATCTTCTTGGAGGTTCAGGGTGACAGGACAAGCAACAGTGGGGATGGGAGAAGTTCTAAGTGGAGACAAGGAAATCAGTTTTTCATGAGGAGGTGGTGCAGCGCTGGACCAGGACCCCACAGAGGTGGTAGAGCCTGCGTCCTTGGAAATAGTCCCGAGTTGACAGGACGAGGCCTGAGCAAGCTGATCTAGGCTTGAAGTTAGCCCTGCTTTGGGCAGGAGGTTGGACTAGGTGACCTCCAGAGGTCCTTCCAACCTCAGTTACACTGTGATTCTACAAAATAGCTACTGGAATACACAATATATAAAATAAACCCCTTGATATATGTGATGGGAGAGTTCAAAAAGAATGTTTTATTTCAACAGCCTTTGGCATTTAAAAGTATTTTTAGGACTTTAATAGAGAGGTGGCAGAAGTGGTAAATATGGCAGTTCCACAAGGAATGCATCTCCACATGTTTTAGCTGAAGTAGAAGGATTCAGGTTTGGATCACTTAGACTGTGAGATCAATGTATCTAAACTCACATATTTTCAGAAACTCTGATTTCATAATAACTGAAGTCAGCAGGATTTCTATGGAGACTGATTCAGGCAGTCACACTTGATGACTTTTTTTTGTTCTTGCTGCTGTCATACTCCAGCTCTCAGTTGGAGCTGAGAAGTAATTTATTCTGTACCATTCTTTTGAAATCCACACCTATAATGAGTGCAAAAGCCTTTTCTTTTTCTCTGTGAGGGTATAAATGGAATTTCTCATGGCAAATTAGCTAGAGGTAGTGAAAACAATTTTCAATGAATTTACCTACAATTCTGTATTGCCCACTTCTTGCTCTAAACAACTTTATGGAGGGATGATTTGTGCAGGGTAAATCTTGATCTTTCTTTGAGGGGAGCCCTAGAATGGTGAAAGCCTTTAGAGAACGGTGAGATGGTAGTAAAGCAGTACCCCAAATCTTAGAGGTATCCCTACCCCCATATAAAACACATGCATAGACCCAGCACCCTCTGCTGCCTTCCAGCAAAACATGAGAGGAGGAAAGTAAGCATCTAAATGTGATTTGTTTCCTCTCTTCTGTAGCGGTAATGTGGGTAGTGAGATTTTTAGAAAAGATGACCTCCTAAAAGCAGCTGCAGACAGAGTAGGAAAATAGGGATACACAGGAAGGTAGGGCACTGGAAGGAATGCAGTTGCTTTTTTTTTGTTTTTCCTTCTTTTTTTTTGGTGTTGGATGTGTATTTGCTTACTCATCAATTCCAGTGTGAAGTCTGACGGATTGGTAAACACGATTTTGTGGGGGACTGTAGAAGCTACAAATGTGTATGGCTTTCCCTAGCTGATGCTGGTGAATTAGACAGGAGATAGAATTCAGTACTAATTGAGACTTGGATTTGATCTTTGCTTTCTTGATTCTGCCTACTTAGTTATGTGTTATCGTACAGCTTTCTATTACTTTGTTTTCCAGCTAACTTTTCATCCTTCTCTCGTTTGAAAAGTACAAGTGACACCTAACTTGTACTGACTAAATAGTAAATGGGTGCAAACTAATACACATTTGCCTCCATCACTTCTCTTGCCAGTCTGAAGTATTACTTATTTTCCTGCTGGTATTAGTACCAAGCGAACTGTCAAAGATGCCCCTCCTGGCTGGTGAGCTGTATTGATTTGCAATGTTCAAAATGGGATGTGCTGAAGTACTTTCATAGAATCATAGAATCACAGAATGGTTTGGGTTGGAACCACCCGCTCCCCCCCCCCTGCCATGGGCAGGGACACCTCCCACCAGACCAGGTCGCTCAAAGCCCCATCCAACCTGGCCTTGAACCCTTCCAGGGATGGGGCAGCCACAGCTTCTCTGGGCAACCTCTGCTACTGCCTCACCACCCTCACTGGGAAGAATTTCTTCCTCATATCTAATATAAATCTTCCCTTTTCCAGTTTAAAGCCATTGCCCCTTGTCCTGTCACTCCCTGCCCTTGTAAAAAGTCCCTCTCCAGCTTTCTTGTAGGTATCTTGTAGCTTATCTCGTATTTCAGATAATACAAATTGAAGGCATAGATGTGTTTAAAAATATTTGGTGTACCAACAGTAATTATGCAAAGAAGTTATACTGATGTAAGAATGAAAGTCTGTGAAAGAGTATAATGTAGTATTGTATCTATAACAAGTGGTGTTTTTTTTTCCTACTTGCTGATTATGAAATCAGCATGTTAAGAAAGGAGTTACAGTAAGATCTGTCTTGCTTTAAATATTACAGGACTGAAATTTTTGAACATTGGTCATTTCCACCTCCTGTAAACCACAATGTTTTTGAAGCTGCGTGTTTCTCAGCAACAACTGTCACGAAATTAGTAAAGCTTTATGGTCTTAAAGGAAGATTTGGGTGAGGCAGTGTGAGCAAGACACTGCTGTCCTAGCTCTCAGGTCCCTGCTTTAGATGGTGGCATGCAAAACAGACTAGAATAGCACACTGACTCTGCACTGAGCACCAGTCGCCTTCTGTTCAGTTCAAAGCATCCCTTGCTGTTTGGCCCTGGTGTGGGAGAAGTTCAGCACTGGAAAAGACAAAGCATTCACCTAAACAGGGCAACAGTGTTGAATGTTGAAAATACTGAAATACTGAAAAGATGTCTAAATAGCTTAAATCAGATTATTCTTGTGATAAAGATATTGCTATTGATAGATGAACATGTTAATCGGAATGAGCCTATCCTCAAAGCAATGGAGCTGTTCTGTACTGAAGATACTGAAGCTCTGCCTTTTTGGGTAATCACCTCAGCTATATGGTCACTTTAATGATATAAATATTGCTCTTAGGAGGTGCTGCTTGTAAGAGAAAGGCATTATGGGCTGTGGGAATTTCCAGGATCACGACTGCTATGTATTGCTCATTTTCCCTCTGTGACACCAGTAAACCCCCAAATAAATGTTTCTGTGATCTGTTTGGCCAGTAGCCTGTAACAGAATGTGAAGATAAAACAGAGGATGGGGTTTTTTTTATATCAAGAAGTTCCTTCCTTCCAACTCACTATTTTTCACTTTTTGTGTTTACACTTAAGGATCTATGAGCAGCTGCCAGAGGTGCAGAAGAAGCGAGAAGAAGAGAAGAGAAAAATGGAATACAACTCATACCGCTTGAAAGCACAGCTTTACAAAACAGTAGGTGTTCTGGTCCAGTATTTATACTGGAATATTTTAGAATTTTTTTTTTTCCTCAAGGTCACAGCATTATAGTAATATTTACTAAATGCTAGTTCCGTGGTATTATTTTGCAACTTCTAGGTGGTTAGGATATATTAGCATTTAATCAGGGTCAACACTTAGCAAAACATGAAACAAAAAATCCCCCTACCTAACCTGAAATCCTTCCAGTACCTACACATGTTATATGGAAAAAAGACAAGGAAGCATGGTCCCTATTAAAGCATAGAAAAAAGGTCTTACGCAGTCTTGAGGGCAGAACAGAGGGATCGTGGAGCATAGTTAAAGAAGATATTCCATGGACAGGCTCTTTGACTTGAAGGCTGCTGATTTTGATCTCGTGTACCCTTGCTGTAGATCGATTTAGCTTACACAATTCACAGCTAACTTCACAGCCATGGTTAGCAAAGCCTGGAGTCAGTCCTGAGGACTCCAGGATTTTGGTGAGACGGAAGAGGAAACAGTGAGGCCCATTTTGCTGGGTTACTCTAGGACTCTGCTGAATCCTGCCTCGTTCTGCTATGAAGCAGCGAGATCCCTGCAGGGAGCTGCTTCTATCCCAGCTGACAACTGCTGCTAATGCTCTTCCTCCCTGGCTGTCCAAGTTGTGCGACATGGGCTTTGCATCTGTCTGTTAAATGCAGGTTGAATTAACGACAGAAAGATTCAAGAACCCTGTGCTAGACACTCACTTGGGTTAAGCACACTAAATAACAAGGAAGAGAGTCTTCTGTCCCTCTGCCCTGCCATGTGCACACATCTAATTATCTAGTATTTCTGTGTAACAAGCAGTATCGATTTATACACAATAATGTGATAAATGTCCTGATAAAACAAAGGACGCCTATTTGTCCCCTCTGAGAAGTGCATCTCCAAAACTGAACAGTGTATCACTTTCTGAGCTGTTCTAGGCATCCATATGCTTAAGCTTTCTCTTAAGACTTAATAAGAACTAAAAGATGAGAAACAACAGTTTGCAATACAAACACAGAGATTCTAACCTGACTTAGCTTCTCGCTTTTTAACTAACCCATGTACCATAAAACGTAGCCCTCTGGAGAACTCTGGCAGCAGGCAATAAACTGCATTATAAACCTCAGTGGTTTAACGACACACATTAAAAATTAAAACTGATTTTTTTCCTCTGGATCTTAAGCTTGCACTTCAGTTTTAGCATTGCAGCTCTTTCCTGGCTGAAGTGTCCTACCAGAGGTGGAATAATAGCGTTAGTTATTTGTTGGGAACAGCAGTAATTGGATTTTAAAAATCAGGGCTTCTAATGCAATATGTTATCCAGAGAACCTTTCTGATCTGATTGTGGATATTTACCACTAGAGTTACTTGGGTTTGATGCTATGCTTTTGCAGGGTATATTCAGGACGTATTTTTTTCCCTAGTCTGAGAATCTCAGATACCGGTGTAGTAAGGTCTTAAGAGTTAATGAATGCTGGCAGTCATTGACTTGAAGTAGCTGGTCAGCTGGAAGCAGAGAGGGACTTGGATCAGAAGTTTTGTATACAAGTGTGGTTTTGATTGGAAGAGGGATGATGATTCAGTGCAGTAAATATTGTAATCTTTTTGTCTTCCTTGATGATGCAGAATAGCTGTAGTGAGTAGCTGTAAATACAGTGAATGGTTTGTTTAGAATTTGCTTAATGTGTTGCTAAGAGCAGCAGTTTCTAAGCGGATCTGATTGTGAATTGAAAAAAAGAACCACAGATTTTGTGGAATGACTTCAAAAATGTCACAGCGTATTAGGAGAAGAAAACAGCTGGTACAAAACCTAGACTAAAACCGTATGTAATCTAAGGTTGTATCATTTAAATGATTTTTAGCACTGTACTCAAACTGTGGTCTGATTATCTGTTATGGTGGCCAGTTTGTGAACTGCTGATGTAGAACAGCAGATTGGTACTGCGGAATAGATCTGACTCTTGTTTTAATTGCAGTCTCCTAGAGAAGTCCTGTTGTGCCTTATACAAACCTAGCAGGGGACAGTTCCTTCCAAGATGATTTGGCATATATCCAGACAAAGCTTGGGAAAGGAGAGGGAGGCAGAGAGTCAAGTGCCCTGCTCGAGTTTGTGTGTGGGTCAGTGGTGGAGCTGGCATAGTACTCATATTCTCTGATGCCCAGGTCAGTCCTTAAGTAGCAAGACCTGTCCCTAACGAAACTTCTTTGTCCTTCACGCTTTGGATTTTGACAGGCTGACGCTGGTCATCTTGCTGGTGAAAGGATCTACTCATGCCCCAGCCACTCCAGAGTGCAGCTTAGTAGGTTAAACTGCTCGTCAAAGCATGTGCTCAGGCATCCTGTTCTGGAGTGTCTGAGGCTTACACTTGTGGTTTCTTGGCTGACTTGCTGCTGTGCAAATGTTAATACCTGGCAGAGGAGCACTAATGAAACAGCTGGGCAGGTGGGGATGTCTTAAACTGCCAGACCAGTTCACTTAGCGAAGGAGAACCTGAGCACGTATTCTCCTCTCCCAGCATCCATGGCTGAGTGCTTTGTTCTCATAGCAAAGTGTGGTTATATTTGACGTTTATTACATTTCAGCCATGGTGCTGGGACACTGGTTGCTTCTATTTCTGTCACTGATAGCAAAGGAGTAGACATGTAAAAGTAAAACGAGGCGTACACCTCACTATTAGCAGTACAGCTGGCTCTGAGGACGGGATTATCTACGTGCATACCATTTTTACAGGGCGTCGAGGGCTCACAGGGTAGGGGTGATTAAAATTCAGGAAAGGAAGCAACGAATTAAAGGTGTACACACACTCATATCTGTACATACATGAACATGGACAAGTGTTGTTTGCTGAGGTATCCTCACACCAGAATTTAAAGGTATGTTAGGTATAACTGCATATTGATGCAATCTATGGGCCCATGTTTCAGCAGAAAAATGAACACCCGCTTCTTAGAAATGTATTGCGAGGAGAAAACAAAACAAAACCAAAATTGTATGTTCCCAGTGTGAGCAACGACAGCTACTATGTGGGACATACTGCTCTCTGGAGGCAGTGTGTCCCTCGTCGTTAGCTGTAGGGAACCAAGAATAATGATCTTAGTGTCCAGGTTGGGGGCAAGATGAAACTGAGTTCGTTTGGCTCAAAATAAGGCCTCAAATTAGTGAATATATATATAAACAAAATCTGCTTACTGTTTGTAAAGTACAAGTGAAAATACTCATACAGGACACCTGAGAAGTAAGGGCTGTCAGTGCTTGTCTTAAGGCCTTCACGTGCTGCGGTGGCAGTGTGGGGCAATGCAGTGGGAGGTGAAGAGAGAATGAAATAATGTGTTTTTTTTGTTTTAGCAGTGAGTGAGGACGGGATCCTCGAGAGGAAACAGTATGGGCTCATATGTAGCTGGAAACTTATCAAAATTCCTGTGCTAGAAAGTGACTGAGGATTGCACAGGCATTCTTAATTTTTCAAATTGTTAAATACTTATCTTTATTAAGATAGCAAAGTTATTTTTATCACAGGACGCACGTGGGTCTGGGCGGATGTGCTGTCCCAGTATCCCTTTGCTTTTGTACTTCTAATTTCAAACAGAGCGTAAAATTATACTAGTCAGTAAGGCAATGGTGCATGCCCTTTAATTTTGAGAACTGTATAGTTGAGACAGATTTCTGATCTGATGGCAGCACAAATCAGAAGCCTTTCAACCCCAGTGAAGTGAAAATGAATTTTATGAGTTTATCAGATAGAAATTTGTTCCGTTACTGAGGCTTTTCCCTTAGATGTAGTGAGTTTGTAATTTTTGTAAATAGGGAGCATGGGAGAAACCTCCATAAAGGGGGATCGCAAAGTTACTCATTTATGTAGTTCCCTCTACCCCTTAAAAATGACATTAGCATTCAGGAACACTAAACACAATTTTATGTATGGATGGGAGATGTCCTTTAGAGCCTGTGCAAGATCGGAGCCACAAGGTGTCACTACCCCAAAGGAAAAAAAGCAGATGCTTCCAGAGGTGGTAAACTGAATTGCACTTTCCTGCTTTACAGTAGGGTTTTTTTAATTTTTTTTTTTTTTTTTTTATCCCCATGCCTACATTTTCCCTCCTGTCAGCGACATGTTAAGGTTTTCGTTTTATAGTCGCTCCCTGGAGTGGAGCAAAGAGGCAAGATAGCGTCTGATTACTAGTTGGGTTTGCTTTATTAGATTGCAAAAGGGCTTGTGAGCTGTCAGGGACTGATCTGCAGTTTTGTGGTGTGAGACGTTTTGCACCCTTCTGAGGCTTCGTGAAGTGCTGGGGACAGATTCCACACTGAGATTCATGTCAGCAGCTTTGCTGCTTTTTGTATGTATGTCTGTAAGCAGAGTGTATTCTGTATTGGTATATACACTATGTATAGTATGTGTATATAGTATATACACACGTATTCTGTATGTGTGATTGTATAAAGAGCTGAGCTGCGTGTTGCGTTCATCTGTGTGATGCAAAAGGTCTTGTCAGGTAATGGTTGTATCATTCCCTCTGCTGTTAGTAATATATGAGTTACTCAAAGCTCTTACATTATCCTACACTTCTCTAAAGCCACGTAATATGTATTCCGTGCTTCAGAACGTCAGTGATCTGCCAGCTGAGCTAGCAGAAAGATGCGGTGTTTCATTATCTGCATTGCCCATCGCCATAAGAACAGGTCACACTAGCAGGTGCCTGGGGAAGAATACCGTAACAGCCAGCATTAGCAGTACTGCTAAAAGATGCTGGTGTGATTTCTGTCCAAGGGGCTTTGAATCCATCTGCGAATTGGTGGTTTTTTGGGGTTGTTTTGGTTTGTTTGTTTTATGAATTACTCCACTTGCTTTGTGAAGTGTAAATGTCTGGTGTTCGCAGCACCGCAGGGCAGAGTTCCACAGTTTAACTGCACAAGACTGTGACTCTTCACACAAAGTATTCTGAGGTTTGGTTGGTTTGTTTTGTTTCTTTAAAATCTATTACCA